GGGCCCGGCCTGAGGGGCGGGGGAGAGGCCGCCGGGGCTGCTCGCGCCCCCTCACCCGCTACCGGCAACGACTACTGTGAGGTGACAGAGAGGGACCGGGAGGGTCCGCGCGGAAGAGGGGCGGGGGCGAGGACGCATTTTTGCGCATGTGCGCAGGTCCTGCCGAGCTGCGGGGGCGGGGCTTTGAAGAAAGGGCGGGGTTCTCGCCGACGTGATAGGCGTTTGTAATGGACGTTCGGAGAAGTGGGTTGTGGGAGTGGGCGTGTCAATCTGATGGGAAAGAGGCGCGCACTATGCGTGATGACGCAAGGGGCGTTGATTGGGAGAGAACTGGAGCCCGCGCATGCGCGGTGCCTCACTTTCTGTCCCAGTTGATCTCTGTTCCGAAGGTAGGCGGACTGCTCTTTGTGTGTGTTGCTCGGCTGCTAGAACTGGCCTCGTCCAGCTTCTCCCAGCCTGTCTCGCGCACCCACCTAGCTTCGCTGCGAGGCAACACCAGCCGAAAGTGTGTGGGCCTGAGGGATAGAAACAACCTCTGGACCCCGCGCCTTCCTTCCGGGGAGGTGGCTCGGCCTTTGAAGAGCGCCCGCGTCTGAGACCTCACTGGACTCGACTGGCGGAGGGGTCAGGGAGGATTTTTGGGTGGGACGGGGACATTCACATACTACTAGTGAATGAGGTATCCCAGAGTGGGAACCCCACACAATCCGAACCGCGCCGGAGGCGGGATGGGATCTCCGTGGTCTGACAGGCCCAGCGCGCTTATCAGAAGGGACACACCGGGCCCCGCTGGCCCTGAAGCGTTCTTAAGGAATAGCTAAAGCTGCTTCTGGGATGATTGATCCCCTTGCCTTTTTACCACTACATCCCAACCACCGAGAGCTCTTGAGGCAGTGGGAGTCTTCAGTCATAGACATTCCTCACTAGTAACCCTGATCTCAAAAAGAGCCTAGAAGTCAGCGTTTTTTCAGTTTAAATTTGTTACTGATCTTGATTTCTTTCACTTAGGAGCCAGTATGTCAGAGTGGGAGTCTTACTACAAAACTGAGGGCGATGAAGAAGAAGAAGAACAAGAGGAAAACCTTGATGCAAGTGGTAAGTGACTTTAACATGTAGTAGAAAGACATTCCCTGCTTGTCTCTGCTGGGTGGACTTTGTTGTCGGATGTCTCACCGTTCAATGCCCAGGTAGCTGAAATGCTTTTTTTCTGTAGAGTTTTTCGGAGCTACCCTAGACACTTTTTTTGGGAGGGTGGAGTAACAGATTTTCTTTCCCTTTGGTTTTTGTTTTTAGTTATTTTTTTGTGTATGTTTTAAATGTAACATATCTAAAAAAGAATTATGAATTATTTTCCATTTTGACCAGAGAGAGAGAGAAGGAAAGTGAGAAAGCAAGCCACCAGGTCCAGGACTTGAATTGGGGCCTGCACGTAGGAGTCCAGTTCTTCAACCACTGCACCACCTGCTGGCCCCTTGTGTGTGTTTTTTGAGAGAGATTTTTGCTATAGGGCTCGTGCTGGAGAAACAGAAAGTCAGAAAGCAAGAAATCACCCCCTGGGGGGATGGCCACGCCACAATCCTTTCTTCTCTGTTCTCTCAGGATTTTGAGCATGCATGCACATGCACTTCGTGTGACTTTCAAGCCGTGGGGTCTGGGACTCGAACTGTGGTTGGCCATGTGGGAATCCAGCATTGCAACCATTATACCATCTGCTGGTCCCAGTTTTTTTGTTTTAGGGCACAGGTGCTCGCTAGAGACTGAAACAATGAGACATCGTGTTCTAGAGGGGATGGCCATGCCACAGTCCCTTCTCCATTCTTCTCTTGGGATTTTGGACACCTATGAATATGCACTTGGTGTGTTTTTCAGGTCACAGATCTGAGATTTGAACTGCACAGTTGGCCATGTGGGATCCAGCCACCTTAACCACCATGCTACCTGCTGACCTATCCTGGACTCTTATTTTTACTTTTTTAATCTGCTCTAGGCCATGTGTGCTTGCTGGAGAGAGATGAGAAAGAGACAAAGTGAGAAAGCATGCCTTGAAGGGCTGGCCATCCCACAGTCTTTTCTCCTCCATCCTCTTGGATTTTGGGCATACACAAGGGAGTTCCTCAAGCCACTGGGTCTAGGACTTGAACTGGCGGGTGGTTATGTCGGGGGCACGCACCCCTACCACC